TTTCGTTAATCATTTATTTTTAGTGATTCGAAATGGACGAAGTGAAACACATAAGAAGGAAATTTTAGCCATTCGGAAGCTGTTTTAAACTTGCTTTTAGCATTTTTTAAACTTGCGTTCTAAGCTATATCCATTTTTTTTTTTGAAAACGATTTTAATATTTTCACTTCTTCCATTTCAACAAACATCTTTAAAAATCTTTCATACGTATAAAGAAAAAGAAATTTTAAATTTTGCCTTCAAGTTTATTCAGTTATACAAAATTTAGAGGAAACCCAATGATCGAATTATTTGTATTTGCATTTTTTTCATCAGGTGTAGCAAACCTATCTGTGCCAAGCATATGCTTGGACGTCATCAGTAACCAATATTAAAATATTTGTATGAAAAATTTCTATCTTCTTTATTAGCAGTAACGAGCGAAAATGAGGTAGTTATGTTAAAAAATTATTTTCAATTTCAAACTTGTATATAAAATGTTTGTGTGATCGATATATGCTGTTGATTAGGTGTCCCAGGTCATTCTGAGCCAGGTATGTTCAAGCATTATCTTGTGGTAAACCACTATTTTTTTCCTCAGGTGTTTCATGCAGCAGTGATTATTTTCAGTGACATTTTATTAAATTAGTATAAAAAATGTTTGTGTGATCGAGTTATTTTCTTTTAATTAGCTGTCCCAAGCCATTCTGAGCCAGGTATGCTTAAATATTATTGTCAAATATATGTTAAATATTATGCTTAAATATTATAGTCAATTAATATCAAAATATTTGTGTGATAGAGTAATTTTTTTTTATTTAGGTGTCTCAAGCCAATCTGAGCCAGGTATGTTAAATCATTAACACTGAAAAACCAGAATTAAAATACTTCTGAAGGAGATTTTTCTTATTTATTTCATTTTTCTTAGGTATCATAAAACAATATGATATGGGTAAGTCCAGAAATTAGTTTCGGTTTTGAATTAGTAACCAAAATATTTCAGTAACTGAGTAATTTTTTCCAATTAGGTGACCCAAGCAAAACTAACGAAATAGGTATGTTCAAACATTATCATTAGAGGCAAACCA